GTGTTTCGTCTCGCCATGGACACGCTATGTTTGTGACGGTTTATTGAATGGAGCCGCAACGGACGGCGCATGTTCTGTGGCTATTCCACATGGTTTTTGACCACCACAGACATGCTATATCCATGACGGTTTGACCACCGCGGACATACTAGGTCCATGACAGTCTTTAATCCTCACTGTCCCAAAAAATCCGACGGTGCCGAGCCTATGGGTAAAAACATTGTTCATTTTCGCCCATAGGCGTTGCGTAGTCTTTTCCCCATATATATATATATATAGGAAGATACTACAAAACACCTATAGGCGATAATAAATAGTGATTTCGCCTACGCTCATCACCGTTCAAAGTTCATCGTAAGGTCACGATTGTCCGGTAATGTTTTATTTTATTTTTTTTATAAATCAGAATAACTTGAAATTTAGAGCGTATGTTCATCAAAAATAGGTGAATCTACGAAAAATATAAAAAAAATATTTTACATGAAAAACATTGACCAAAATACCCCCGAAATATTTCAAGGGGTATTTTGGTCACTTTTTTTTGTAAATTATTGCTTTATATTTTTATGAGATGTATCTTACTAAGATGTATACATGCTTTTTAGATCATTCTGATTTTTAGAAAACAAATGAAAAATAAAATACTACTGGGCAATCGTGACCGTACGATGAATTTGGACGGTGATGAGGGTAGGCGAAATAACTGTTCATTTTCACCGATAGGCATTAGGAAGAATTTTATATATCTTCCCAACGCCTATCGGCGAAAATGAACAGTTATTTCACCTACTTTCATCACTGTCCAAAGTTCATCGCACGATCACGATTGTCCAGTAGTGTTTCATTTTTCATTTTTTTTACAAATCAGAATGGTTTGAAATTTGGAGCGTGTGTACATCTTAGTGATGCGCACCTAATAAAAATAAAAAAAAAATAATTCATAAAAACAAAATTGACCAAAATACCAGTGAAACTTTTCAGTGGTATTTTGGTCGATTTACTTCATGTAAAATATGTTGTTGATATTTTTAGTAGATTCACCTATTTTTTATGAACACACACTCCATATTTCATATTATTCTGATTTGAAGAAAAAAAATGAAATACTATCGGACAATCGTGACCGTGCAATAAACTTTTAGACGGTGATGAGGGTAGGCGAAATTACTGTTCATTTTCGCCTATAGGCGTTTTGTAGTATCTTTCCTATATATATAGAGCCTAGGCTCTAAACAATCAAATTAGAGCCTACCTTCAAAGAGTGTCAAGAAATGTGGTTTCAAAATTTGAAATCTTTGTGATAACCTTAAAATATATTTTTATGTTTATTTATAAAATTTAAAGCTTCAAAAATAGTGTAGATCGACAGATCTCTGAAAATTGAAAATCTTGAAATTGACGGTCCAAAAATACGTTACAAAATATACTATTTCCAAAACTTGAAATCCATCTCTAGAAAAATTATCACATGGGTGTGGGAGGGTCTCATAGGATCATTACTCATATATATATATATATATATATATAATAATTTCATGTAACGATTGTATAGTAGTATAATGCAACCATACATCTAGAAAATCATGTTTTTGGCATTTGTATGATCCCAAATTTTGCATACACATTATCTTCATTCTCATAATCAATCCTACGAAAAAAATATTTAATTTGCACCCTAGATATGGTCAAAATTAATAACCTCCAACAATGAATCTTGACCATCCATTTGGTGAATTTCAAGATCTAGGTCTTAAAATACTCAAAATCACTTTTTTCTCTTTTAGCATTGTTCATCTAATGATGACCACACTATATAAAAATTTTGGGAATAAAAAAATCCTTTTGTGGCATATATCTCACTAAAATAGACGGCTTATATTAATTCCTAGAAAAACACTTTCTTGAGAGTTTTTTCATAATTATTTAAATGAAAATATTGTACATTTAAAAATTTGTGTCAAACAAATGTCTCTAACATGGTTTT